TTCAAAGCGTGGAGGTGCCGTACATTTCCAACGAAATGTGTAAGGAGAGATTCTATGGCGAGCATCTTCATCGTGACGAAGTTTGTGCTGGGCGCTGGGATGGTGGAAAGGACGCTTGTCAAGGGTGCGTTTTGAGGAGTGTTTGTGTTGTTCATTTTTCCTTGCGCTGAGCGTGGGTGTGTGGGTGCTAATGATTGTATGTAATTTTCGATATATTTTCCATGAACAGAGATTCTGGAGGCCCAATGTTTGTCGAAGAAGGCAACGTTCAAACCCAAATTGGCGTTATCAGTTGGGGGCAGGGTTGTGGCGAGCCAAAGAAACCAGGAGTGTACGCCTCCGTCGCATTTCACCATAGTTTCATCATGGATGTTGTTTGCGAAACGTTGAACACAGAGGAAATCTGCAAGAATCACCCATCCTACGCGCCGCCAACACCATCCCCATCCAGGATTCCTTCAGCGGCACCTTTCGAATCACCATCTGAAGCTCCTTCGTCAGACCCTTCTCGATCCTTTGCTCCATCCGAATCACCGTCAGCAAATCCATCCAGTATTCCTTCGGCAGCGCCATCAACACAATCGAATGCCCCTTCGGTAGAACCATCGCAAACTTCATCTGAGATGCCTTCTGGAGCTCCGTCCGATTCGCTATCAGTACATCCATCGAGCAGTGCTTCAGCAGCGTCATCGGCCACCCAATCTAACGTTCCTTCGGTAACTCTGTTGCAATTTTCATCTGAAACGCCTCCTGGAGCTCCTTCAATGGCCCCTTTTACGAATACTTCGGCACCGTCTGATTCACCATCACTGACGCCATCTGTGGTCCCATCAGACATGCCCTCCTTAACTCCGTCGACGCAACCTCCAGTTTCAGAATCAAGATTTTTTTCAGAAATTATGCACTCCTCATCAGAACCAATTGATGCACCGACTAGCAAACTATCACAATCTTCATCTGGAGCTCCTTCTGTTACCCGCCCTTCTAAGAGTATGTTGGCTCCGTCCGATTCACCATCACTGACGCCATCAGTGGTCCCATCAGACATGCCCTCCTTGGTTCCATCGCAATTCCCAGTCTCAGAATCAAGGCTGTCTCCAGAAATTGTGGACTCCTCGCCAATCGATGCACCGACTAGCAAACCATCAAAATTTTCATCTGGATTTCTGATAAGACCAGCAAATGCACCACAGTCATGCCGCGGAATTTGCTACGAACCCTGGTCCTTCACCATGAAGAATCCAAATGAAACAGTCATCTTGCCCAACGGCACTGAACATCCCTGCTTTTTGATCGATTCCGTACTAAAGATGCAACAGGAAGACACCGAAAATAATTTGTGTATCAAACAAGCCCTGGAAGCACGGAATGCTGGCTGCAAATGTGAATAGCTTCCACCAATTTACATGCATGTATAGAACTGTTCAAATGTTTCAATGGGTTCAACTGCCTGTACCATGATGAACAACTGTTCGAAGTTCACTACAGTATATATTACTGTATAGCACATCGTCTATACTGTGACATATTTTCATTCGCCATACGTTTTCGCCATATCTCTCTCGCCATAAAATACAGTCAGTCCGCCCACTCGGAGTTTCGTTCCACACGTTATTTTCCATGCTTTCGGAAAAATAGCAGCACTATGAGCCGCGTTTCACACCATATTTTCCATTTTTATTTATGGTTTCAGAAAAATAGCAGCACCATGGTGCGTTGACCGTGAAGAGTTAGTGCGTTGATCATCGTATTTACACTAGCGTGCTGCGCAATTTCGACTTCAACCACGTAATGAATCACTCTCACGACATTTTTTGCTCGCGATTCCCTAAATGAATCTGACCGGCGTGTCGCATGCCATGGATCCAAGCGTTGCGCAACTCCACAATTTCGAAAGTTTGGAAATTTGCAATTCCCATATTTTCGAAAAATTCGAACTTCCCAAAGGAGTACCATAGCCATTCAAATTAGCCTATCGACCTTCAAAGCAAAAACACAAGTAAATCATGAGTCATATCAGAGGATGGGATGATACAACTTTCCACAACCGAGCATCGCTCACAGTTGGGCGATTGGCACGCCTGAAGCGACGAGAGATGAAAAAGCAAGCAGATATCAACAAACAAGCCGAGCTCTTGCGACAACAAGAAAGAGAGCAACTTCAAATTGAATTCAAAAAGTTCCACGAGCTAGCCATTTTGGAAACTCTGGAACAGATTCCAAAGCCGGCACCTAAGAAGTCGTTGATGTCGAAATTTGTCTCAGCACTCACGCCGTCCTGGATGTCGACATCATCAAAGCCTTCTTCCAAGGAGGACGAGTACGGAGACATTATGTCGACAGGTACCATGGACACGCAAGCGTCCGACCAATCATGGTTTGTCACTCTCGACTAAGAAACCAACACACACGCACACGCAAACAAACAAGTTCCGCATACCATACCAACCACCACCAGAGCATTATGTTGCATCCTTCGGCTCACCAACCAAATCTGTTTGGATACTCTTATATATTGGACGGAGTTGAGGCAACTGTTTGAAACATGTCAACACACGATTGAAACTACATTTGCTGAAGTACAAAATTGCTGGACGTTGACTAAAATTCCTCCACTTATTGGAGATGAGACGTCTAGCGGCCTTCGCAGCGTGAACAAACCTTCGTTTATATTCTCGATCTTTTTCAAAACACGAAGAAGAATATGACAGCATCTATTTGCTTGTTTGGATATTCTTTGTTCTGTCTGTTGAAAGTGAAGAGAGGAAACGAAGGTTGTGTGTCAATGCGCGTTTGTACTACTAGCCCATGCGGTGCTCAGTGTCGTGGTGATTATTTTCATTGACAGGTGCCATCAACAATTCCTCCTCTTGAAGAAGTATGACAGACTCATGGTGATCCGAATCGCACACAATGCTCTTTGTTCCTGTTTGAAGGAGTTATATAGATCGACCTTCAGAATACAGGACAGCAATTACATAGAGATTCAAAAATAAGTATTTAAACAAAACCCCATTATAGACCAAAGTGAAACTTGTTTGTATCATCATGTGCCATTCCATTAGGGCGGGTCTTCTTCCGTGCGGAGAAACGAAAGCTTTTGTAACTATGGATGTGGAGACAAGTGCTTTTTTAAATTGGCTGAGTATATGATGGCATTATTATTATTGTCTCTAGCTAGAAAGCCGCCGTTAACTCCGATTCTCCAAGAAACGTTTAAGCAAAGATCCATGCGCTTCCATATACGCCGTTTCGTGTCAATATGATCTTCCCCATGTGCTCTTCTACGGATCTTGAGGGCTTCTGCACTCGCAGCAATGCCATCTTTCAGCAATCCCTGTTCCACTTGGACAGCCGAAATATTCTCATAGACTGCTGCTGTCCTGGGATGGACAT